CCACAATGGCAAAGTACCTGGGTGGGGAGTACAGGCAGGGTGCTGTACAGCTGTAAGAGGTGAAGTGCCCACAAGAGGCCAAGCCTGGAAGCTACACTTGAGAGTAGCCAAGCTAGGTGAAGTGTCTGGACAGAGAGACCCAGTCATAGGGACTGAGGCCATGGCCCAACAGGGCTGATGATCAATATGACTGACACCATCTGCAAGGCATGGGCTTGGAGTAAAGGGCGGCCGGAACCGTGTTATATGCCCTTAATGCAAAGTAGAGACATCTGAATGCCCACATGAGATCTGGGGTTCCTGGGGCAGCCTCCCTTTCTAGAGAGCTAAGAACAACAAGGTGTGGTAGGTGAGATGAAGAGAAGCAAGCCTGAGGAGTAAGGGTGAAGCAGGGACTGAGCGGCCAGACAAGCATCTGTTACAGTAACCTGCTGAAGCAGGCTGAGCAGAGGAACAGCAATATGATCCGTATCCAGAGAGACCAGGGGTACAAGAGCTCTATTTGTCATTTCAGACCTTCTGAACATCCTGACTTCCTGGGCTTTTCCAAACTAACCTCTGTTAAGTGCTGAAGATCTTTCTATAGTGATCAACCAGGCCTTATAGCCTCATGGAGAAATACTTTTTCTCTTGATGATCAGTGATCCATAGTCTGGTCCTATTAGCTGTCCTGTCTAATTCAATTAGAGAAACTTAATGATGCAATCATGAAAACCCAATTAATAACTAGAAGTACACTGCTCAGTCTTATGACCCAGGGCAACAGCGCTTTCTTGGGAGTACAGCACTGCATACCTCAGTTACAATAGCTAGGATCTACCAATGCAGAATTGGTGAGCAACTGCCTAGTGGCAACCAGGGACAGCGAGTTTCCAGATAGTGATGGCCACATGCTTCTCCATGTTCAGAGGACCTCCTATAGAGCTGGTATGCCACACCAGCTCCACAGCAAGTTTGGTGCAGGGTTGATTTCTAAGTGTCCAGCCCTGTCAGAATATAGTGCTAGCTGACAGTGCCGAAGAACAGTGCTCCCATGAGTGAATCTGTTCCAAGAAAAGATGTCAGAGAAGGGTCTGCTGGATGTCAGCCTATTTGTTTTTCTCAGATGCTCATTCTGAAGTCATGGCATGGCATGTGAGATACACTTGCAGCCCATTTAGGATCGTTGCCAGGAGGATGACAGTACTTGCCAGGGTTTCCTCTGTGATGCCTGACAGCACTTTGAAAATGCCAGTGGTTGGCTGGTAAACAGAGCGACAGCATCATAGGAACAGATGGATGATAAGATGAAATGAGAGGAATCCGGGATTACTTGGTCTGACCCCAAGCACCAGAACTCCCCTACCTTCTGGTAGGTGTCCCGCTGTGCGCAGTGTGAAAAATCTGAGTATATTAACAGCAGCGTGACAGAACGCTGCACCATGGGGCGCTGGGGTGCAAGGTAGGACACTTCTTTTGAAACTTTGGTGTGCTGTGGGGCCACAATGATACAGGGCAAGACTACCCTGATCACAGAATAGCTATATGGTGTGGTTTGCAGCTGGCATTAGAGTTGTTGGTCACTCAAAACAGATACAGAAAACCTGCACTGAGGTTCAAGTTCAGACATGCTGTCAGAGCTCAGTTCTTATTCAGACAACAAAACACCCAGTGTCTTCCTGGGCATTTTGCCTGAAGAAAGGCTCACAGGATCAGGCCCTAGATGGACAGTGACACACAGAGTCTGGATCTCTCATGGCAGGATCTGGCCTCCTCAGTATAAGCTTTTTCTCTAAATCTGATACCATAAATCTGTTCAGGGCACATTGCTATACTCAAGCTAGCTGTTAATATCGTTTCTATAAACTGAATACTTTTTATTCAAATTCCAGTAGAAACGACTTAAAAAAAACAAACAAACATTCCCTCGCTGGGTCTGCATGCCAAACATTGCAGTATTGTACTACTGCCTGAGAGCCTACAAGTGAAAATAATTTTAAAATGTGAAACGGATTCCTCTTGTTCCTGCTTCAAGACATACAGAGAGCATAAACAAACAGCAGGCATACTGCAAAAGCGAACGGGAGGTTTGATCATCTTATAGTTTCCTATAAGATACAGTATAGATCTTATAGTTTGATAGATATAGATATACGGTCTATAGGCATAGATCTATAAGTATAGATCTTATAGCTTGAATATAGATCTTTATAAGCATATATTTTTATAGATCTTAAGTATAGATCTATAGGTATAGATCTTATAGTTTGATCATCAAGGTGTTGTTTGTAACACAGGAAAGGAACTTTGGTCAGGTTTTTTTGTTTCCTTGCTTTGATTCTAAATTATTTTCAAGTTAACCAGAGCCTCTGGATGGCTCCACCACCTACTTGCCTTGCGCAGGGAGCTGGACTAGGTGACCTTGTGAGGTCCCTTCCAGCCCTACTTTCTTATGATCCTATGATCCTCCTTCCTCTAAAGGTAAAATCTCCCACTGACTTTACTGGGGCAGGGCCAGGCCTTTAATAATACAGTGACTGACACATACACACACACACACACACACACATATACATATATGCTGGTGAATATATACATACACACACACACACACACACATATATATATGCATATATGTGTGTATGTATGTGTGTGTGTGTGTGTGTAAGTGTAGAAATGCAAAACTCTAGAACTCTTGGTTCAGAGATGAGACCTTTTATTAGACCAACTAAGAAATTGCAAAACAATTATCTTTCTTTGCAAGCTTTCGGGCACATGCACCCTTCTTCAGGCTGAGGGAAAATTAAAAATGGTAAAAGTCTCCGTAGGTAGCAAATAAACTTCATTTTGTATATATATAAGCACACGTATATATGCTGGTGAATATATATATATATGATGCTGGTGAATTCCGTTTAGGGTTGAAATGGAAAAGGCAGGCCCTTAAAATGTCCGGTAAATCCGGTAAATCCGGTAAATGTCCGGATTGCATGAGCATGGTTCTTCTGTTATTGCTACCCAGAAAAAAATCTGTATCTTACACTATGCAGCTTGAGGTGTGGGGATGGTTAGGTCACCTGATTGTAGCCTGCTGGATGGGTACAAGCAGCATCCCCTGGAAAAACCCAGTGATTTCAGTGAGTAGGAGGAGAAAAAAGGAAACAGGGACTAAAGAAACAGGGTGCCTCCAGAACTCCAGGGAGCTGTGGCCAGAGGCAGTTACCCGCAGGCAGTCACTGATGCACGGCACCTAGCATTTAAGGAAGCTGCTTAGCATAGAGCCCCTGAAACACTTGCAAGGGTCTAGCCTTCCCTTCCCTGCCCGGTGGTAGGCACCTGTTCAAAAGCAGGGTGGGGGCTGGAGGACGTCTGTCTATGTCTGCAAGCAGGCTGATTCCTTCATCAAGTAATGCCTTGAGAGGGGTTGTATGGACTATGGTGCTGACACACAAACACACACTACAATGCACACATACAAACATGCACTACAGTGCTCACATGCACACATACACTGCAGTGCTCACACATACACATTCTACAGTGCTGGCACACACACACACACTCCATACAATTCCTCTCAAGGCATTACCTGATGAAGGAATCAGCCTGCTTGCAGGCGTAGACAAATGTCCTCCAACCCCCCTGCTTTTGAACAGCTGCCTACAATGGGCACGGCAGGGCCACCTACCAGCACTGGTGCGTGTGCGTGCGCGCTGTAGTTGTGCGTGTGTACATAAGCAGTGTAGTGTGCCACACACACACACACATGCATACACACACACGTGCATGCACACCCCAGTGCTGACACACACATATACACACATGCACGCACACCCCAGTGCTGACATACACAAACATACACACATACACATGCATGCACACCCCCAGTGTTCACACACACACACAGCCCCCATGCTGATACACACACACATATGCACCAACACAGTGCAGTGCACTCATCCCCTCCCCAGTGCTCACACTCACACACACCGAGTGGTGATGCACAAACCCACCCAGTGCTGACATGAGCGCACACACAGGCACCCCAGTGCTGACACACACTGAAGCGCACTCACACTCGCGCACACACACTGTAGTGCGCTCACCCCCCCCCCCCCCCCCCCTGCTACTGACACACATGCTGCAGTGCACTCACACACACCCACAGCCCCCATGCTGATACACACACACTGACACTGCAGTGCACTCACCTCCCCAGTGCTGACACGCACACGCACGCACCCCAGTACTGACACACACTGACACTGAAGCGCACTCCCCCCCCCCCGTGCTGACACACACTGTAGTGTGCTCACCCACCCCCAGTGCTGACACACACCCGCTGCAGCGCCCTCACACACACACACACACTGACACACCGCAGTGCCCCCCCCCTGCCCGCACCCCGCTCCCCGGGCGCCGACGAGGCCCGTCCCCTGGGCGGCGGCTCGGGGATCCCTCCCCCCGCAGCAGCAGCAGCAGAGCCCCGCGGCTGCCGCCTGCTGCCCCCGCGCC